AGTCCAAGTCCATGACTTTTAGGTTAATTGGCTTCTCTAAATTCTCCTTAGGTGTGAGTGTGTGCATGAATGGCTGTTTGTATCTGTGTTGCCCTGCGATGGACCGGCGACCTGTCCAGGGTGTACCTCGCCTCTCGCCCATTGACTGCTGGAGATAGGCACCAGCACCCCTCATGACCCCGCTTGGGATAAGCGTGATGGAAAATGGATTGATGGATGTTTCCATCTCTTCTTTAGGGTATTTACTCTTCTGTGAAAAATTCTAAAACCACCTTAAACTATTGTAAAAATGTTTAATGAAAGAATTAGTAAGTTGATTTGAATTTTGCTCTTTCCATTCAGCTCTTTCAATTTTTTACTTCCAAATACACTTAAAAGAATGTTGATGGAAATGTGTCTTATGACTTTTTTTTTGGAGTTGCTAAGCTATGGTCCAAACTAAATCTGACTGAGGTGCTGTTGATTGATCTTAAAAGGACAGTCTGCAACTAATTTAGATTTTTAATAGCAAAAAACAAGCAATTCTTTCAGAAACACGTGTTCTGTCAAAGGCCAACAACAATCACATAAAAAATAAGTATACCCAAAGCTTAAAATGGATGTTTTCTAAATACATAGGTGGCAGTGCACCCAATGGAGGACACCTTTCACATCGCCATTTTTGATTACGGTAGCTGTATGGGGAAAAACAAAACATGTTAATCCTGAGTGTTTTACCTGTATATGAGTAAGAGTGGGCACTGGAGGAGTAGAAAACAAAGACCACCACAGATCACTTTAGTTGCTGCTTCCAGTTAAAATGGAGGACCCTTCATCCTCTTTGCCCATCGAGAGGGAAGGGAAAATAAATAAAACAAAGTAATAACTGGGAGAAAACAAGAGTCTACATTGGAGTGTCTTTTACCAGGTAGAGACAATTCATGAGTGAGTGAGACTTCATGACAGACTTGGAGGCTGTAGGCTTTCTGCTGGATAAGTGTAAGTGAATTTAAAATAACACATGAAATGTGAAATAAACACACACTAACAATAAAGTAGAACCTGTTGGAACTGTTCTTTCAGTTTATCTGCAAACTTAAATTTTAATGAATAGAACAATCAGTTGAGATGATTATTTTTGTATTCACTCAGTTATCCTTGCTTGATATTTCTGTTAGTAGATTTGAAACATTGAAGGGTGTTAAAAGCCTTTTTCATAGCACGTCAAATGAGCTGGTGGAGCATCTCATAAAAATAAAAACTTGCAGCATCTCTATCTAGGAACCTAACCTACAGTAGAAGAGATAACAAAGCTATATCACTGTTTCTCTCCAAATATCAACAAAAGCCACAACAGTCCCAAAATCCACATCTAGACTAAAATACTTTCTTTATTTTCGTGAGCGGTGTTGCTTAGACTTAGAGTGCTATTGTGAAGAAGGAGGTATTGAACGTGATGGCAAACAGGGCAACTCTGTAATCTAAATGTCATTCACTGAAAAGCATCTCCCACACAGCCAAGGGCTTTCATCTGAATGTGCCTCCAAAAGATTCAATTACTTTCTCTCTCCTGCTCTTTCTTTCACCCTCTGATCTCCACCGTTCCCATGCACTCACTAGTTGCTTATCTGCTGTGATTATAGTCATTATGAAGCAGCCGTGTCCACGGTGAGATTTCATCACAGGCAGGCATGCTCTGCCAGCTGCCTCTGCAACCAGGTCCCGTTTAGTAAAATGAGCTTTACAAAGAGCCAGAGCTGGAGAAATTACACTAAATAATATAAAGCATTACATTTGCATTAGGGAGAATTAGGAAAAATATAGATTCCATAGTATATATATCTATATATATATATATATATATATAGCATAAGTGGTTTCCTTAAAAAAGCGTAAAGGTGTGGAAATGCATACCTCTGACTAGTTCTTATTCTGCAAAAGTATGCTAGCCTGCGGATAGAGGGATGAAACAGACAACACAGCTGCTCTTTTCATGTTCAAAATCTGTTTCTCGCACGTCTCCGTCTAGGTTTTGGCGGAGGGGAGGAGTTTAAGTGCGGTGGAACAAAACTCATTTTTTGACAATGACATCAAAGGAGATGGCTGCTTTTGTGTTTGAAGTAGAGCATGTTTGAAGTGTTCTGAAGACAGTGGAGTGGTGGGGCAAGTTCATTGTTGCTTCGCTCTGGGGATGATTATCAGCTGCTATCGGCACGAATCTCTGAAACAACTGTCAGCGTGACATGTGAATAATGATCTCCCTTTTTCACCTGCTGATGCCAAACAGACTCTGACACCTAAATATCTACCAGGGTCTCAGAGTTTCATTTCTCCCTCTGGCTGCAGTATTAGACTGCTTCTGGAATTTAGGGGAATTTAGGTGAATACTCGTAATAAACCCAACCTTTTCCTTTGTTCTTCTGAGTACCATGGAAACAGTTAATGTATAGTTAGAATAAACACATACATCCCATTACCAAAGATTGATACTCTGAGATACTACAGCATTTTCTTTAAAGCAGATGAAACATTTTTTATCCTGCGTTTAGCACTAGATTTGACAAAACTATCACAACTGAATGCTTAGAAAGTTTTATAATACAGCAATTATTGGGATTAAACCTAGAATGTCTTTACAAACTTTTTTTTACACATTTTGCCAAATTTCAACCAGATTCTTTGTGTTAACCCATAATAAACCAACATTAAATATACTTGTTGTTGGGGTGTGTGTGTGCCAAATAAATTTGCATTGGATGGTTGATTGTCTTTAACACCTTTTCAAAGTTTCTTAATCAGATTGGGATCTGAGCTTTGATTGGATTAAGTTAATCCAAGGTCATCCTGATTGGTAAAATTATTCCAGCATTAGATAGTATTTACTGTGATCTATCTTTCCTTTAGACCCCCATCACTTTCCAGGTCATCATCCATCCATCCATCCATCCATCCATCCATCCATCCATCCATCCATCGCCTATATGCATTTATCCTTACAGTATACAGTAGTAGAGAGAGGCAGGGTTCACCCCGGACAGGTCAGCCATCAATTACTTTTGCAAGACAGAGACAGACAAAGAAGAAAATCATGTACACAAACACACATGCACTGACATCCATACTGTACACTCACTCTGAAATCAAACATAGAGATCGTTTAACCTAACTTGCAAACTTTCAGACTGTGGGAGGACCTACTGTAATGAAGGGAGAGAACATACTGATTTCATGCAGAAAGAGTCCAGGTTAAACTGCAAGGCTGAGCCAACTTGCAGCCAGCTTATACAGACAGTAAATCAGAATATGTGTTCAGATGTGACTTGTTTGTCGGGACAACATAGACTTGTTATAATAACATTTAAATATTTACCAAACATACTTGTTTAGACCAAATTTCGATATTAATACAAAGTGTATTTGCATGATGTAATATTCTAATCTAAATTGTTAACGTATTCTATGAAATACAAAAAATAATGGCTTAAAACCATCAGCCGAAGTGTATTTCTATATATAATGTGCCTCATTTAGTGAACTGAGGAAGTGGTGTAAATAACCTTTAAATAATATTTAAATATGCATTAAATGAATGTGATTGTGCAGAGATGTGGTTTAAAAGTGAAAGCAGTTAACTATATCTAGAGTTGATTTTAAAGCAACAATACATAGGTTTTGGGCTACTTATTAACTTATTTTGAGATACACATGTTAATTATTTTTAAGGTCATTATATAGCACCTGGTGTATGTCGATCCTCTGTGTGGGTTGCCGTTTTTAAATCCTAAGTAACTTGACAGGGTAGGATCCATCACTGAATAAGGCATATGGCCCCAGAATGCAGCTTTACGACAGTCTGAGCTCCCCTAAAACACAAGTGCTAACAAAGAAAATAGTTGTTGTTTAATCAGCCTTATTTTTGGTTCTCTGACATAGGATGTAATCTGGAGAGGTGTATGTGCCCTTGTCTTTACAAGGAACTCCTTCTCAGTCTGCTCTCCCGCTTATTCCTTGTCTGGGGTGTAGTGCCCATCTACGGCAATCTACGGCCAAGAGTACATCCTGGACAGGTCACCAGTCTTTTGCAGGGCAACACAGAGATACACAAAGACACAAAATCATGCACACGCACACTTACACCTAGAGAAGCTGATTAAATTAACATCCATGTTTTTGGACTGTGGGAGGAAGCCGGAGTACCTGCAGAGAACCCAAGCACAGGGAGACATGCAAAGTCCATAAAGACCCCCGAGCAGTGATCAAACCTAGAACCACTTGCTGCAAGGTAACAGTGCTACGCAATGTTCCAACCGGAACATCATGATGCTGCTATGTTTAATGATGGGAATGGTGTGTTCAGAGTAGAGTTTGGTAAATACTGTTTTTTCAATGTCCTTAAAATTACTGATTATTTCTGACATCTGCCTAACTAATACCACAATATTTGCTTCCAATTATTAGTGGTTGATTCTTAAAGCTGATATTGCCTTTTCTTCCTCATTTAAATGATAAAGATGACATCATAGTAACAAATGTTAGTCCCACCTAAAACAATATTTAAAAAAAGAACAAATCAAACAAAATATTAACGATGGATAGCAAAGGGAGGAAGCAGCAATATATGCTCTTCACGTGATTTTACGGCATGGCTTTGGTCGATGCCAAAGTTAAATATTCGTTAAGAAAAAAATCAACTAACCAAGGTATCGGTCTACCTCTGGTCCAGAGTGATGTGCAGAGCTAGATATTATTTAGCATTTTCTGTAGGCGAAATTAATAAATAAGATTTTATCAAACCAAAGCAGTAAATAAGAATAAGGCATTATTATTAAAAAAATTAGCCCGTAAAAAATGTCTCACTTGTAAACACATTGAAACCATGCAGCTTGTTTGTTACCCTTTAAATATACCTCTACTTTCTGAAACTCTGTCACATAAAGTCCCACAATACAGCAGCAGGGTATAGCAACAAGTTTAAATGTATGAATTGTAGCACTATTTAAAGTGTAAAAGGACCAGATGGAAGAAAATCAGAAGACTAGAATTCGTCTACTGGAGCCGTTGTCAGTAATCAATAAACAACACAAAATAACTGCCTTCAATACCATGTATTAGACAAATTTAAAGTAAACAATACAAGACAACATACATAGAACCCAAAATAAATACAAAAAAATATATATACACAGTACTGTGGTAATCCTTTTGTTTGTGCACAACTGGTCTTAAATTCCCCGCTGATCAGTCCAGAGTCTGACCCGACACACATTCAGAAATCCATGGTTGGATTATCCAGATATTTAAGTTGAAGAATGTCCCAGCGCAAGTTGTTTCAGATGAAGAAGTGAATAATGGAGTGTATGCCTGAGTGGTGAGATGGAGGGGGGGAAATGATACAGACCAGTCCACTGTGGAGTGATTCTTAAGGCTCTCCTGGCTCCAGCCAGTTTTCAGAAGCTCGCCATCTTTTTCCCTAAAAAGGGATCACCTGGCCTGTATTAAAATAAACAGGACCAGTAAATTTCCAGCCGGCTAGTTAACTAGACTTTTCAGTTTCACACAGAAATAAATGCAAAATCTAATCTATCAGACCAAATAAAGAACATTTATCTCATCATCTTAAAGTTAGATTACAACAATTGATCACACTTAGCATTTGCTGCCACCAAAATGCTAAAACAACAACATTGTGCTCTCTACTCACCAATTCCAATAAAAGATGAGAGTATGGCAGCTCCAAGGCTCCAAACTCACTGGATTTCTCGGATCTACATGATTTTTATATTGTGAGGTTAAACAGTGCATTACAAACAAAGAGAAACTGATTGTTTGGGAACACCAACCTGTAGCTCCTTTGTCTCCAGCTCTCCCCCTCACATCTGACTGGGGAAAGCTGGAGCAAGCCTAAATAATTGCCTCAGGTGTGTCAATTGGCTGCATGCACTGTGTGACTGACTGTCACTCTAACCAATGGGGCAGTAAGGCGGGACTAAGGGCAGTTTTCACCCTGGGTTACACCCTCCCCCCTTTAAATCATGCACGTCCCGTGACATGTAAACATTAAACAATGTGAACATTGCTGGAAGTGGTGGGTGTCAAAACTAAAGCATCAGACAAACTGTGCAATAAAGTTTGAACAACTGAAATAAGCGGATTGCCTAAAGTAGTATATTGAAGCCGTTTAGGCGCCACTCTGTGACGTGTTGATCGTCTTAGAGAAATGTCATCAATTTGATTTATGCCATCAAGGTTTGGGGATCTGTTCAAAGAAATTTCAGAATCAGGAACAGGAACAGTTTCACCAACGGGGCTGCCAGGATCAGGTAAGTCTTCAGGATGAGGTGGAACTTGTTCTGCAGAAACATCAGGTTGCTCTTTGACACTAGATTCTGGTTCAATTGATTCCACTTCAACAACTGACTTCAAACTCTCAGAATCTGAAAGAATTTCAACAGGTTGTTTTTCCACTGTAGAAACTGTGGGGACAACAGAGTTTTCTTCATCATCAGGAGGTGATGACTGTCTGAGTGGTTTCTCCATTTTAAATTCTAATGGAGGTGGAACTAGATAGAATGGAATCTCTTCTTGCTCACAGTTCTCACCTTCTGCAGAGTCCTCAGAAGATTCTTGACATTTCTTGGTGTGTTGACGTGTTTGGGGTTTTGTGACTGGAACTGTCTCAGTTGGTCTTTCAGCATCTGTCATGGGGAGAAAACCACATGGAAGAAGAAGGTCTCTGTGTAGAGTGCGTAGTGGGCCATCTTTGCACTCTGGTTTCACCGTATAAACTGGGAGATCCCCAGCACACTTCACCACTACAAATACATCTTGCTCCCATTTATCACAGAGTTTGTGTTTACCTCTGAGTCTCACATTCCGCACAAGTACTCGGTCTCCAACTTCCAGCTTGGATGGTAGAACTCGCTGATCAAACCGAGTCTTGTTTCTTTTAGCACTTCTGGCAGAGTTCTTTGATGCTATTTGATAACTCTCTTTCAACCGTGACTTCAGGTTCTGTACATACTGCGAATGTGATGGACATTTCTCTTCACAGATAGGAAGACCAAAAGCAAGATCAATCGGGAGTCGAGGACAGCGTCCAAACATAAGTTCATAAGGACTATATCCTGTCACTTCATTTCTGGTACAATTGTACGCATGAACGAGAGGTTTAACATATTCTTTCCATTTTGACTTCTGTTTTGGTTCAAGAGTTCCCAACATTGCTAAGAGTGTGCGGTTAAACCTTTCTACAGGGTTTCCTCTGGGATGGTATGGTGTTGTATGACACTTTTTAATTCCTGTCATAGCACACAGCTCTTTTATCAATTTGGACTCAAAATCAGATCCTTGATCTGTATGTAGTCTTTCTGGAATTCCAAAATAGATAATGAAATTGTCCAAAAGACATTTGGCAACCGTTCTTGCCTTTTGATTCGGTGTTGGAATAGCAATGGCAAACTTGGTGAAATGATCTGTCAACACGAGAATGTCTTTGGTATTGCTGGTATCAGGTTCAAGACTGAGAAAATCCATACAAATGAGCTCCAGTGGGCGTGAAGTCCGAATGTTAACTAGTGGAGCAGCTCTCTCTGTCAGAGTCTTTCGACGAACACAACGTCCACATGCTTTTATTTTCTGCTCCACATACATAGCCATTCTAGGCCAATAGAATCGAGCTCTAACAAGATCCAGGGTTCGCTCTATTCCCGGGTGGCCCATGTCATTGTGAAGACTATGAAGAACAGATTCACGGAGGTCTGCTGGAAGGACCAGTTGATATACATGTTGCTCATTTTCTTGCCGTTTCCTGTAAAGAATGCCATCAATCATCTCCAGTTTTGTAAATTCTCTAAGGAGAAGATGAAGTTCTGGAAGTTCACTCCTGACTGTTGGGGGAATTTTTTCACCTGACTCCAACTGATGGATAATTTCCCTGACAGTAGGATCAGCTCTCTGATGATCTTTTAGGTCAGAATGAGACATTGCAGGAACAACAGGAAGTCCATGTGCCTCTTCAGAGTAATCCACAGGAATGACATCTGCCCTGACAGAGAGTGATTCAACCAAAAGACTTTCAACTTGGGTCCGAACCAGACGACTTTGGCAGATTGCATCCATCACTTCAGATGACATCTCATTGTTGCTGTTGTCTAAAAGATGTTGTTGAGCAAACTGAGAGATGAGTTCCTGATCTTTATGTGCAACCTCATCTATGACAGGATTTTCACAGGGACGACGAGAGAGTGCATCAGCATCCTGGTTGTGTTTCCCTGCTCGATACTGCAACTTAAAGGAGAAAGTAGAAAGTGCAGCCAGCCAACGATGACTGGTAGCATCCAGCTTAGCTGAGGTTAGGATGTAAGTAAGTGGATTATTATCAGTAACAACTGTAAAATTTGCTCCATACAAATAATCTTGAAACTTTTCTGTTACACTCCACTTCAGTGCTAAGAATTCAAGTTTATGAGCTGGATAACGACTTTCGCTGGCTGACAACCCTCGACTAGCATAAGCTATTACCCTGAGCTTCCCCTCATGTTCCTGGTATAGGGCAGCACCCAGTCCAGTGGTGCTGGCATCTGTGTGAAGGATGTAAGGTAGTGCAGGATCAGCAAACCCCAGGACCGGTGCAGTAGTAAGTTTGTCGATCAGGGTATCAAAAGCCAGCTGACACTCAGAAGTCCACCTGGAACCAAAAGGTTGCTTTGGATCAAACTGTGGGCACTTAGAAGATTGTACTCTTGAGGGTTTATTAGTTGGGGGGTACCCACGGGTCAAATTGTTAAGAGGCTTGGCAATAGTGGCGTATCCTTTTATGAAACGTCTATAATAGCCAGTAAATCCCAGAAAAGATCTTAAAGATTTCAAATTAGTAGGAATTGGCCAGGATTTCACTGTGGAAATCTTTTCTGGGTCTGTCTCAACACCTTTTTCTGAAACTATATGACCCAAGTATCTGACAGAGGTTTGGAAAAATTTACATTTTTCCAAAGAAAGTTTTAATCCAAACTCTTTCAGACGATTTAGAACTCTCAGCAGACGGTTTTCATGTTCTTCAAGACTGTTTGAGAATATGATCAAGTCATCCAAAAAAACCAATACCTCTTTCAAATGCAGGTCACCCATACATTTCTCCATCAATCTTTGAAAGGTTGATGGTGCATTTGTAACCCCCTGAGGCATTCGGTTAAACTCCCAAAACCCAAGTGGAGTAACAAAAGCAGTCTTAGCTTTATCTGCTTCATTCATTTCAATCTGATAATAACCAGATTTCAGATCTAGCACTGAAAACCACTTTGATCCTCTGAGAGCTGTAAATGATTCTTCCAGGTTGGGCAAAGCATATGCATCTTTGACAGTTTGTAAATTAAGTTTACGGTAGTCAATGCACAGTCGAATGTCTCCATTTTTTTTCTTAACAACAACAATTGGAGATGAGAAAGGGGATTCAGATTCTCTGATAACACCAGCATCCAGAAGTTCACGTAAGTGTTTGCGAACAGCCTCTATATCTTGTGGGTGAATCGGTCTCGCACGATGTTTGAAGGGAGTATTATCATGAAGATTAATGTGATGTTTCACTTGCTTGGTACATCCAAAATCTAAATCATGATGAGCAAAAACTTCAGGTACAGCATTTAACTTTGTTATGATTCTTTCCTTCCATTCTGATGGTATTGGAGACTCACCAAAATTGATTTTCAAAGATGCTGTTGATGTTTTCTCAGCCATGTGGTTGGTCACATTATGCTCTGAGATGATACCTGCATAGGCTTCCAGTTCAGCAATGATACTTAAAGCTGGTATGGAAATGACTTGCTTTGTTTCATTGGAAACAGCAACTGGAACCTTATTGAGTGAGTCAGCTTGAAGTGCAACCAGACAGCTACTGACAACCAGGCCACCCGGCAGGCCTGAAACCGGGTGCCGAACAACAGCACACTGACTGGCTGTAGAAGAGAGCTTGGCACGACCCTCGACCACCATTGTGCAACCAGCTGGAATAAGTACAGGAGTTTTACTATGGAGAGTCACAACACCCAAATGATTGCCACAGTTCTGCTGATGCATTAACTGATGCAGAACTGTTTTAAACCCGTATGAGGTAGGTTGGAATGTGGGACAATCACTGGAACAAAACTTTTCATAGAGAATTTCAAGTGTATTCATCCCAATTAGTACTGAAGCTGGAAATCCGGGTCTCACATCAGGAACAACCAAAGCAAGGGTTTCAACTGTTAGTTCACTCCCAATAAAGTCTTTTGGAAAAGTTATTGGTATTTCAACATAACCCAAATATGGAACTTGTTGACCTGCAGCCCCTTCAACATGAAGTAGGTCATTTAATGAATGCACTGGATGATCTGAGAGATGCTCATTGAAGAAAGAAACTGGAATTGTAGTGACTTGAGAGCCGGTATCTAGAAGACATTGAGAGCTGTGGCCAGCAATATTGACTTCTGCTGTACATCTGGATCCGATTAATCCTTTTGGTAAGTTAATTTTGGTTTTTGTCTGCATCTTTGCACACTTAACAGACTCTCTCTCTGTAGGACAAAGTTGGTCCAGCTCAGTTCCTGTTCGTCCCTCAACAGGAACTGGAACTAGTTTAAATGTGCTGTAGGAGAGGGATTTTGTCCCTGTCTCTTCTGTTTGTCATAAAATATTTTCCACTTTGCACTGACCAACGCTGAATTGGGCTCATTATCACATCGAGGCTTGATATGGCCATCCTCCCCACAACGGAAACAAAACCCAGGTTTAGAGCTAGACATGCCGAATTTTACATCTTTAACAGTCTTTTTCACAATAGGCTTTGAAGTAACTCTTCCAGCAAAAGGTAGCTTAGTGCCCATTTGACCTGCTGTTAAAGCAGTGAGCTGCTGCTGTATTGCAGCCATCTGTTGTGAAAGCTGTTTAGTCATGTTATTCAGAGCAACACACAAGTTAGTTTCCTGATCAGTATGTGCAAACTGGACCTGAGACGCAACCTTCTGTTTAGTGGTTCCCAAATGATGCTTCATCCTCAAGGTCTTTGCTGCTTCCCTGTCCTCTTCAGTTCTCAGTAACAACAAAAGCTCAGCAAATGATGGTGGATTATTTTTTCTCTGTTTAAGTTGAAGTTCTGAGATTAAATTGTTGTCCCAGCACCCTCTGCAGAATTGGGTCAACAGTCGTGCATCCATGTCCTTCTCCAAATCACCTCCTCTCTTTACTGCACTCTGTAATACAACCTGCAGACGCTGCAAATAGGCAGACGGCTTTTCTCCACTGTCCTGATAGGTGTCCATGAATTTAACATACAACTCCTCTCCATCTTGAACAGTTCCATAAGCTGAATCAAGTTGTTCCAGGTATACTTTTGGTAATGTGTCAGGACTCAAATGTTTCACTATATCACAGGCAGGTGGAAGTAAACTGTCACGAATTATTCTGGTACATTGCAGCTGTGACATAGAGGGATCTTGAAGAACTAATTCAACACTTGAACGCCATGTGTCATAGTCTGTCTCATGACTTGGCCTGGGGACTTTTCCAGAGAATGCTCTCAGTCTATGGGATGTGTGCATATGCAGAGAGCTGTCCCCACTCCTAACAACATGCTCCACAACGTACCGTTGCACCTCAGGAGGATTAAGATCACCAGCGGAAATGGGTGTGGACCGCCTCTCCTGACTTGGCACTTCAGCTCTGTTGGAGACAGCAGAGCTGAATGGGAGAGGAACTGACTGTGAGAGGGATGACAGAGGAAAAGGGAGTTGAGTTGTGGCATGAGCTGATGGCTGCTGCCCTCCATCTTCATCTGCAAACTGTTCCTCTTTTGCCTTCTTTAGCACCACAGGACAGAACTCTGCAATAGACTGCTGTATCTGGGACATCACTTCTGTGAGGACTTGAGTGTAATTTTTTCCAGACAATTTGGCAATTTCTTGTAAATCATCCAAATACTTGTTTGTCTTTAAACCACCAACCTTTGAGGCATAAATCTCAGATAAACTTTCAATATGAAATTTATCACCCACACTTGATGTAAATGTATATGGTAATATTGGAGATAAGCGTGCTAAAGACAACCCAGAATCAAATTCAACAACCAACATTTGATCAAATTCTGATTCAGATGAATCAATGGTAAGTCTCTGCTTGATATCACCATACTGTTCAAGAAAAGCAATAAGTTCATCAGTGGGGTTCTCTGGGACTCCATCAATCAATACTGTGTTAGGGATTTTTAGACCAAGGGTTTCAAAAACCTCCATAATGGAAATTGAATTGGTGAGTAGGAACCCTATTTGTGCAACTTTGCTCAACTGTTTTCTATTGATTACTGATCAAAACAGCTCCTGGCTAGCTCGCCAATAATGTAGCACTATTTAAAGTGTAAAAGGACCAGATGGAAGAAAATCAGAAGACTAGAATTCGTCTACTGGAGCCGTTGTCAGTAATCAATAAACAACACAAAATAACTGCCTTCAATACCATGTATTAGACAAATTTAAAGTAAACAATACAAGACAACATACATAGAACCCAAAATAAATACAAAAAAATATATATACACAGTACTGTGGTAATCCTTTTGTTTGTGCACAACTGGTCTTAAATTCCCCGCTGATCAGTCCAGAGTCTGACCCGACACACATTCAGAAATCCATGGTTGGATTATCCAGATATTTAAGTTGAAGAATGTCCCAGCGCAAGTTGTTTCAGATGAAGAAGTGAATAATGGAGTGTATGCCTGAGTGGTGAGATGGAGGGGGGAAATGATACAGACCAGTCCACTGTGGAGTGATTCTTAAGGCTCTCCTGGCTCCAGCCAGTTTTCAGAAGCTCGCCATCTTTTTCCCTAAAAAGGGATCACCTGGCCTGTATTAAAATAAACAGGACCAGTAAATTTCCAGCCGGCTAGTTAACTAGACTTTTCAGTTTCACACAGAAATAAATGCAAAATCTAATCTATCAGACCAAATAAAGAACATTTATCTCATCATCTTAAAGTTAGATTACAACAATTGATCACACTTAGCATTTGCTGCCACCAAAATGCTAAAACAACAACATTGTGCTCTCTACTCACCAATTCCAATAAAAGATGAGAGTATGGCAGCTCCAAGGCTCCAAACTCACTGGATTTCTCGGATCTACATGATTTTTATATTGTGAGGTTAAACAGTGCATTACAAACAAAGAGAAACTGATTGTTTGGGAACACCAACCTGTAGCTCCTTTGTCTCCAGCTCTCCCCCTCACATCTGACTGGGGAAAGCTGGAGCAAGCCTAAATAATTGCCTCAGGTGTGTCAATTGGCTGCATGCACTGTGTGACTGACTGTCACTCTAACCAATGGGGCAGTAAGGCGGGACTAAGGGCAGTTTTCACCCTGGGTTACAGAATACTTTGGCAAGCCACCGTACAAATTGTACGAATAAATCTTTCTGACACCTCTGCAATGATGCCCGTGCTTTTATGTAAGTCGCTTTTTTTTATCCATAAATTACAAATGCTTTGCGGGAAGATTTCTTTTTTCCTCTTTAAAATTGATACGAGTCAAAGAGCAATGGCTGACACCGCCCTTAAGTACTAACCACTCATTCATATTAGCTGCTCTCACATAACTGCATAGCCCTAATGGTTACATTAACCTAGTAAAACAGACAAGGTAACAGTCTTTCCGATATAAGAAGAAAGCTTTAAATTTAGTTGGGCCTCTAAAATCCTCCTCTGCTAACTATTATTCATCGGCTGGCAGTCCATAGTCCACCCTGTAAAATCTTTCAGGAAGGGTCATTAAGGATATTTCATTATCTCCATATTGCCAAGGTCAGGTTGTCCATATATCCACTTTAAAGCTGCTAGGGGAATATGCTACGACTGTAGTATAATAGACCAGAAAATGTCCACACCAGGAATGATGGGAAATCAATATTGGGCACAGCTCATCAATACAAACCCCATTTTCACAAGCAGGAAGAAGGTTCTCTAAAAAAGAAAAAAAAATGTGGAGGGAAATAGATAAAATCAGGGCGAGCGAATAAAATAAAACAATGTTTTATTGTTAATAAAATATTTGCTTTTCCGCTCTACAGTGAAATGAGAGACTCACTGCCGAAAAGGTCTAAATTGGTTTTGGCTTAATTTTGCTTTAATCTGCCAGGGCTGGATTAGACACTCCATAAATGTCCCGGCACAGTCATGTAACCACTTTAAAGGAGAAAGAAACATGGCGAGTGACAATGATTTGCCACATTTGTTACAGCAGTGGCAGCCAAGAGCCTTAGTCTGCCTTTGGACTGTTAGAAGGAATGTTGATGCCTTTCGTTTATTGCAGGGTGATGGCAAGAGGCAATGTTTAGCCGGAATACCAGCAAACAAAGAAATGTTAATATATAGCAGCATTCAATCACTCTTACCCTCTTCTCTCATAATGTCCTCATATTTTTTTTAAGTTTGCAATTTGAAATCAAGCAGAGTCTGGACATTATGATGTTTATATAACTCGTCCGAGGCTTAACTATCATAAGGTGAAACAGCCGGTTCATGTAGGCTATTTGTTAAATAAACAAAGCAGAGCGTGTTGTGGTCCAACATGGAATTTACAATGTGCTATGGTGGAGAAAAGAGAAAACAGCCTGTGGTTGTTTAACCAGCCAGTGGTAGCCTTGGGCGCTGTTTGTTTATGCAGCACAGCTTCCAACAAATGAATATCCCACTGGCAAACTGATGTTGGAAGAAAAGAAGTCTGAATACAAAAGCAATCTCCCCCCTCCTTCTTCCCTGCCAAACGACCACCAGCATCAACATAGTCCCCAAATACTTCAGCTGATGGTTATCACAGGATTTTTGTAGAGCTGTAAAAAGTCATAAAAACTCTTTCATTTCTTTATTTTTATTTTAGGTCTAGAAAAACATTCACCAAGTCCAGATTTTCATTACAAGGTAATCAATGACATATATTTTCATCTTTCATAGTTTTTTTTGTCATTTGTATAATTTTTATACTGTTTTCGTATAAGAAAGACTACCACCATTTATTTGCTATTTCCTGGTAGGTCTGCCGAGGAATTTAGGTTTATTAAACAATAATGGCCGAAGCTTTTTTTGATTAAAAAGTCTCTGTCCCTGTTGTTCTATCTCTGCCTCTCCACAATTTAAAATGTACCGGTACTCTATATTTTAGACGTGTTAACAGATATTGATCTGCAAAAATTTTTTTTACAGTAGCTTTTTATGTCAGTCTATCTTGAGAAGCACAAACAGTTGCTGTCAGTGTGACTTCATCCAACCAAGTAGGGAAAACTTTAATTTTGAAATTCTTACTGTATCACAAGTCTTTCAATGTCTCTCCGTTGTGTCAACAGAGTCCACGAATAAATTTTATTTTTTATTTTACCTTTATTTTACCAGGAAGTCCCTTGAGATAAAATCTCTTTTTCGAGGGAGACCTGGCCAAGGGGCAGCAGTACAATAAGACATATAAAAACACATAAAAACAACAAAATAAAGATCTCGAGCCAAGTGACACTTGTTTACAAAAGCAGTGAGTATGACACTTTTAAGCAGTTGTGCTGCAGTTTTTAGTGAAATCAGGAACAATAGCCCCATTTACATTAACCATTTGAAATTGTGCCGATATTAGTAGGAGCACGGTAACCGAGATAACTGTTGAGTGCAAATGGCACACACAACTGAACCAGATCACGCCAGACACAACCAAACTGTGCTAACATGGTACTAGTTCATCAGTAGAACTTGTCTGGATTAGTTCTGGCTCGGTTTTCAGATAACAAACAGCGCATGAGCAGACCAAGTCATCAGCCTACGTAATCATGAATTTTCAGACATTCATAAAAATAATATTCTCCCAACCTTGCCACATGCTGCCTTCTTCGCCTGACTCTCTGCAAACTTCCTGAATGTTACGTGCAACACCATGTTGCTTGATTGTTTCCCTTTAGAGAGCAGTAGTACCGTAGATCGTCACTAGGAGGTGAGGAACCATGCTAGTGTGGTGTGTAAATGGTTGTAAGGAACCAAGCTTGGCACGGTTAGCTGATCCAAGCTCGGCACGGATCGGTTTTCAGAAGGTAGTGTAAATGGGGCTAATGAGAGTGATGGAGTTACTATGCATGATTTAAAAGCAAGGTGGGAACATTGGATGATTGATTCAGGTTTTGTTAAGCCTGAACTATAGAACATTTCAGATACTACGGTATAATATGAGACAAAGAAATATAGATGCTTTACTCACATCAGTATGCAAAATACTTGAAAGTAAGAGTTAAACTGATCGTTTGTTATATGTCCTGATCACTTTGGGACACACAAAGTATATTTAAGTTAAACTTCTGAACAGTCAAGTCTTAAGGAAAAAATAACAAAAACAAAACAGTGATATAATGACAAATGGGAAACATACTCTGCGCTGATGCAACAGGACACCAAACATCATACCTTTAATTTAATAAGAATATGCTGCTCTGAAGGGAGCATGTGACACAAAAAGGACACAAATATTATCAGGAAATTTTTTGTTGTATTTGAAGCCATTTAAAAACATACATGTTGTATATAGCAGCACATGAGGAATGCCAGGAAAAGAATGAACCTGAGTGATTAAACTAATGAATATGCACTGTGCAGGAATTATTTAAGAAAAAGAATACATACATTGTTCATTCTAATTGTAACAGGACATAAAATTAGCATTTTCAAAATTTTGTCCCAAACGAATGGCTTATGTCTGATTGTAGATTAGAAGCTAGATGCAGTTTTAGTTTAGATTTCTCCCAAAGCAGAGGTGTTTTACTTTGCCACATTATTTCTATTGTGGAAAAAATCATGATATTCTTGTAAAATTGCTGCCAAATTATGCCAGTTTATAATGGTCAGACCAATGCAGGCACTGTTGCAGTGAATCGCAAGCATCCTACTCCATTCATTACAACGTGCTGTAATTGCTACAGTCTTTTTTTTTTTTTTTTTTTTCTGTCAGACACTAAATCAGGTAGGGTGTGTATAAGCCTTCAAAACTAGACCGGCAACAATTTGTGACATGAAATGAGCTTGATCATGCACTGAGGTTATTGGAATGCAGCTTTGGATTTCTGAAACCATTTATTAAAAAGGAGGGTTTTTTTTTGTTTGTTTTCCCCCCAAAATGCCTCAAATCTTATATTGGTAATTCCCTATGGTGAACTAAATAGCATGTATGGTCCCACCTGTGCTATTTATTTGCACTGATGAACAATCTCTTTTCTCTTACTGTACAGTAGATACATTGTCTTTGTGTGAAGATTACACATTGTCTGCTGCATGTTAATGGCTTATTGACCATGTATGGTGTAATGAGAGCTTGGGTGCGGGGGCAGCCGTGATATATGAGGGTGAAAATTGGCCTCTGCCTCACTGATGACCTAATTTCAATATTCAGGGACTTGGGGATGGAAATGACACTTTTCACATTTAAGTGCTTTGTATTAGCCCCTGGCTTACTGTAACTGTCTAATCCCAGTTCACAGACCGGACAGCACATATTACAGAATACTGGCATGGCTGGAGTGAAGAGGATTGTCTGAATTACAGCTGCTCATTGAGAACACAGCAAGGTTTCCATGCTACCAGGCAGGGACGCACAAAGAGACAGCATTCGACTCCTTCAAGGAGTCACCTTCATCTTTTTTTTCTCCCATTCAGCTGAGTTGATGCATGCATCCAAGAAAATAAAGCAGAGAGCAGATTCCAAAAGGGCTCTGTCTTCAGAGATAACCTTGAGGATGTATGGCATTTAGCATTCCACTCAACCCCGGTCGTGGCTTTCTGAGAGCGGTCATGGTTTCCCTAAAGCATATATTTTGATCTCCAGCCTTACATTGGGAAAATATTACCACCTCTTCATACTAAATAAGAAAGTTTCTTACATTTTCTTGTGCTTTCCGATTCAAATTTAAAGACTGTCATTCTATGTTAGGATAAAATGGGGTGAAGCTCAATGACCTATTTGCATTTCTGTCTAGTGGAGCAGAAGAACAGAAGGGTGGGGTATATAGCTGAAGGTTGTGAAAATGTAGACTTATTTATCATTCATCCTTTATTTCGCTGGTATTAGTGAGTGGAGGTGTCATGTTTGGCACATCTAAACTCTGTGTTCTGCCAAAGAGATGTGACAGCAAGAGAAATAAGTGTTGCTTTAACCTTGAGCCTGATTTAAGTAAACATGAATATATTACATTCAGTAACCCTCATTTCTCCGCTCACACTGTATTCTTACAATGCTTCAGTATATTAGGTGCACTCTTTACTGCAGACGGTAATGTGAGCTGTAAGGCTCTGCACAAAAGGACAGCTGAGGCACAACGCAGCAGCTTTCTTCTTCCATCAAGTGAAA